AATGTGTTGTGATCAATATATGTATTTGAGTATAGTTCTTAAAATCGTGATGTTCGGTGATGCAGTAGAAACTCATTGGAAATTCAACAGTGTTATATATGATAACATACATGCGCAAAATCAAACTCGTTTGTTAGCATGTGCGAAGTGATCTTTGTCAACTAATCATTCCCCCAGTTGATGGTTCTGTTTTCGATTCAACTTGTTTAACATGTTTGTGATATTGTAAAGTGAAGTGAAGCTTCATAATCAAGTAGAGTTCAACCCTGTCGGATGTAGGCAGAACTACCGTAGACAATGGTTGAGGCTGTGTAATAACTAGGATTGATTAAGGTTAGACATCAACACCGGTTGATGAAGGCTGAGAGATATAGAATTTAAGCTTTCACGTGCAAGACCGATTATCCTGGGTCTGATTCTCGCTAGTGAGGTTCCTGTACTCGCCTTGCTGATGAGTCTCATGATAAGACGAGATCGCAGTCTAGTTTTTCAAGGTTCTCAAGGGTGGTATAACTTCGATGAATTCATTGTTCCAATAATGATCAAATCTATAGAAGATTGGTTGATGGGTAATCTAATAGAACACATAACACGCAATCGTGCATTTTGTATGACATCTGATCACCTGAACTGCTATCCATTAGTTCAAGGGGTTTGATCATAGAGTGAGTATTGTGGAAACGTTTCTCTTGACCTCATAATATTAGTATTCATCAGTCATTGGTGAACAAACTATTTATGAATTTACCAATATGAATATGATCATCACAAATCCTTTCACTAATAAACCATCATTTATACACATAAATTAAACATACTATTTTATAGAATTAGCCACTAATGTTGTCAAACTGTTGTCAAATTGTTTAGTTGAGTAGCTTTTCCTTTTACATGGTGGATTCAATGATTTCCGACAAAATAGATTGTTACGGGAATTCATTGAGAAATATTAGAGTAGGGTGAGTTATAAGTAAAATGCTCATGTGTTCGGGAGATGAGTTACATTGTTAAATCATTAGTAACAATATCGAGATACGTGTATGAGGCTGAACAATTATCAGCGATGTGAATATTAGGATGTCAAAATCTCTAATTTTTCTAACCCTCTAGAATTTGGCTTATTTGATTATTTTTCCCATGTTTTCTCACATATTTATATGCTGTAATTTCAAGACTACTCATTAAATCAGCATTGAAGAAAACTCTAATTAGTCTGCAATTTTTGACTGTCTGAATGCACGACGACGCATACTACAGAGATTCGTAAACGAAATCCATTACATCGAAAACTGCTGCTGCTCCAAATATCAATAAAATCAAATGCTCTTATTTTCGTCGGACACCAACAAACATCTCTCAAAATATATTCTCAGTCTTGCTGTTCGATATTGAAATGTGAAACGACATGACTGCAGTAATTAGATCTGTAAATGTTGCTGCTTTGATATCCATCAGTTTATTTTAGTCAGAAAATAAGTTCTCAATCGGAGGACGAGAACTACATGTGTGATTGGTGGATAGGTGAAGTAGAGAAGAGTATACTGAAGCACAATTAGAAAAGTCATTGTGGGTATGCAGAGTTGTAAAAAGGGTGTATGATTCTGGGTCTCATTCCAGTACACTATACAGCTGGCGACATAAAGTTTTGCGGGTATGTTTTCTTTATATAATACGATTCAAATGCATCACTAGTCAAGTCGGATACTGCAAAACTCTTAAGATCAGAATGTGAGCAGTGATCGGATGTGCGTTAACTAGCTTGACGAAATATACTCGTATGACGAAAGCGAATATACTTGCCTTGAGCAAGGTATTTGAGTAGACTAGTAACCGGTTCATGCACCAAGAATAGCTGTGAAGGCTGGTATTTATGACTGTACCTTCCTTCCTGATTGATTTATCCTGACCAGAGTTAGTAGGTGACGAAATCATGTTACCTAATGGCTCATTGGGTGCTGTAAAAGAGGTCAGTGAAACTACCAGGACGGATTCTGCTTGATCCGGAAGATTGTGAACGACATTTGTCGGACAGATGACCATGTAGAAGAAGAAGTAGAATGCAGAAGAATAATATGTAAAATGCTGAATATGCTGACCATTCTTCAAACAAATCATCATCTGTAGTGATAACAATATTTATTGTAAACATTGGTATTTTACATGAGGCATGTCAGCTTACAGACACGATCACAAAAGTGCATTAATAGTAGTTGACATATAAGAGTGCGATATAAATTTTTACGAAAGCCACATTCATGTCATAGAGCAGATGATTAAAATAGGATGTTGGGTTATGGTTCCAGGGTTACAACTCGACTGATATCCCAAGGAGCTTTCGATTGGAAAATTCGTTCTCCTATTTCAGATTCCGTAAGAAAAGCTTTTCAACTTATTAATAGTATGGAAATAATATTTATTTTGCTTTTCTCTCAACCATTCATTCACCGAGCCCTTCGGGTCGAACTGTCATCTGTATGTAATCTCATTCGATTCAGTCACCAAGATAGATCATTAGATGTAGGCTGGTCGACAGTTATGAAATCGATCCCCCTAGTCGTGTTATAGTAGTGTTAGTGCAAAAGGTGGTTTATGAGGAGCTAAGAAAGAGCTACAATGCAATCGCTACGGTTATAAAGAGATTTACGAAAACGGAATGCCATACTAATCGAAGGATTAATTTGTGTCGTTGGACGTTTGAACTGTTCAAACCATCTACTGTCATCGAAACATCTCGTGATCTTACCCAACTATCACTTCGTAACACAGCTGATCATCCGACACTACCGCTACTCAGGAGGTCTCACCCGCACTCCAAACGTGTTGGCCTCCAACACCCATAAACCTCCATTTTTAATGATTCCATCAGGTAGCAATCATCAAGCTATCATAATGTAGGTTTTGATGGAGGCTAAGAAGTCACAACTTAACGTTCAGGGTCCAGATGAAACAACTTTCGATCAAAAAAATTATTACTATTATTTTCCTTGTTACTGTATACTGTGGAAAAGTAGAATACTTCAGTGAAAAATGTCGAATCATATTTCGGTTAATGGATTTTTATTGAAGTCAACACACAATACTAATCACTGTTGAACAGCTTTATTAAATATCAATGAAATTTACGCATTCGAATTTGAAACTCTGTTCTTTACAGAAGCTTACGTTCTCATTCATATTCTAGATTTATGCTAAAGTGAGCATCAAGCGTTAATTTAACGACCGACAGATGAAATATGTAGACTGTATTGACTGTAATACAGAGTATACCACTCTTTTCAGTGAATTACATTTACCAATCTCAATATTAACACCATTTGACTAGTCGTTTTAGAGGTTTGTTGAAAATTCAGTTCACCATGTTCAGAATTTCGGATAATGAAGAAAGAACACATTTTTATTACATATTTTTTACAATACTGCTGATTCGTTCTTGATTGATACACATATTGAAATAGCTTACAAATCAAAACTGAAAATGTCACTATGGACAGAGGTTTACAGATTGACAAATTTCTGATGTAATGTAGATTCTTGTGTAGATTAGATGACATGACATGACATTAGATGACATGAAAAAATACTTAACAGAGTTAACGAAATGTTTTATCTCCGCCCAATTGTTTCTTCAGACCTTCTTTAAGGAAGTAATCGAACGTTCCACGTAAACGTTCATAAACATTTCTCCTATTAGACAAAAATTAAAACGTTCATCTTATTTAGGTAAGTGAAGAGTAATAAATTGTAATTAGCACCAAAGATTTTATTAAACCAGATGTATTCATTGTCATCTGCTTTTAATCAGCATATCTGAGTAGCGAATCTTAATATGTTGAAAGAAAAACATTAATACAGCAAAAGTTAAATGAAATTCTCGCTGAGAATTACTCAATCATATGCAGCAACTCTCCACTAAATATGAATGAAAAAATTATCAGAAACTATCGGATACTACACACCTATCAGACGGTGAAATTTTATCCATAACCTTAGCCCGTTTGTGGTGGATTTTCTGTTTCAACTGTAGGATTTAACTCGCCCTACAGATGTACTTCTAGAACTGAAAACGCGATATTGGCGATCACAGAGTCTATGTGAAAGCCATAGTCAGAACAAGACCAATTTTGCTCTAAACTTTATCTGTTTCGACCAATATAGCGTGTCGTATGAAAAATGAATCAAGTTGTGAATCACAACAATATAATAAGATAATTATGTCCTTCAATTTGTAGGTCACTACTTACAACAGAGAAAGTTTACAGACATATCAGATCAGATCACGTGATGGACGCTTAAACGGCAAATTGATTGTTTAGTTATGACATAACTACAATTAGTTATGGAATAACTAATACAACCTCATTAACCCTAACTCTGCTGAAAAGTGCTCCTTGAAGCGACTGTGGTTAATTTTCAGACCCATTTATCATTTCATATCAATGAACGGTGATATATTTGTAATGAATATTTCATAACATAATGCAAATTAAATATTACTTCAAATCATTTTTTTTCAAATCAGCTACGCTGCGAGTTTCAAGAAGTGAATAGTGTTGAATTTCTCAATAATATGAGACAAAACCGCTGCCTAATGAAACTTGTTCTACAAATCTGAGAACCGTGAATTGAATGACCTACTATTGAAGTCAAAAAATTGATCCTTCTTCAGAATGCGCTGAGTTTAGTGGTGGTCCGAGTTCTGATACTGCTCATCTGTGTAGGAAGGTCATGAACGAGTATAAATCTATATTGCTTAACCGAGCAAAATAATTGCACAAACTGGTTCACTGATAAAAAATAGCATGTATTCCTCACATAATTGGAACATCTTCAACCAATTGTTTGTGCTTCTCTCTTCTGCATAATTAGGCTACATCTAGACTAATACAAGTGCACACTGACCATCTCTCACATACAACATGACCTAGAACTGATGGATTTGATTAACCAATCTATCAGACAGATAATACTTAAAAATAATTTAGAATAATCGGTTCACTTACCAAGTACTTAGGAAAAGTGTCCTATACATATTGAAATGAATAATCAGTATGTGACTGTAGTGGAAAAAGTAGGTAGTGTGTTAGGTAAAAGATTTCAAAACCCATGTAAGTATCTGTTTCTTTCTGTTCATGTAAAGAAGTGGCGATGATGATATTATTGATAATGAGTGTACAGGTTCAACCCACAATTCAGTTAAAACCTGATCATTTATATATGTATACAAATCTTCTAACATCTATCTACAGTCTAAACAGATTTCCAACTGTCTTCTCTCACATCTCATCTCTTTCCATCTTCAATATACTCTGATCAAATCATGCATTTAGATCTCCAGATACTTCTCTCTCTCTCCATTGCTCTGATAACAACTTCTTGGCAGTCTATTTATATGCCACCTTGTGAGCGAAATCCAGCACACTTGTTGTGATATGAATAATAAAGGTTTGAATCTATGTTTCACAATACGAAATCAGGTCAAACAGGCATAGAAAACTAGACATTGCAAATAAAACTTATTGTGTACTAAAGCCTGATGAAAATCTATTTGAAATCAATAATTTCCACCTTCATGTGTATTGTTCTAATTCACAGTTTGTAGATTTTCAATATTTTAATAGCTGATTTACTGACAGTGAATTTAACACTTTGACTGCCATGTTTTATCGTTTATATACCAAAAGCAAAGATTATCGATATTACGATGAATACAGTCATTATTAAAGCTGGAACTATAAATCAATAACTAAGTCTTCACATCATGTCTCCTGAAAACTCGTTCGATAAATCAACTCAAAGGACCACAACGCTCAATCAGTTAAGTTATTGCTGTTACTGAATTCCATTCATTATTACGCAACACTACTTTTGAACAATGATTGCAAAAATTTAGTAAACTGAAGAATTTCATTGCAACTGAAATACTCTTACTTTAGATTATTCTTACAGTTAAACTTACTTGAAGTCGAAAATAACTAGAAAATAGATGAGTCGAATTTTATGAGTAATTTCAATGCTCGAATGTTTAGTGTATGTTATACCTGAAACGCAGTCCCTCATATTGACACATTTGAATACTTTTTGGAATATTTGTTGAAACAACAACCTAACAAATAGCACCTAAAATGTTAAATTTATCAATTAAGTTATAGATACATGACAATCATGTGTTAATACAACAATTACAAAATGTTGATACTTTCTCTCATTCACTAGGTGTTATCCGAAATGCCTTCAACCTGATAACATTGTGAATTATGGAGCAATATATTTAACACTAAATCAGTAAGTGTGATCACTTTCTGATATACTCAATTGGACTTTTCACATCTACAACTTAAGTATCGTCACTCGAACGTGAAACATAATAAGTTCATCCTTCCTTTACGTCGGTCTCGTATTTGTATAAATATGTGCGTCATATGATGTACAAATCCGTCTCTCAACCTTTGCACTAATCATTCACAGTCAATCAGATATTGGATTCACTAGTCATACAAATGTGTCCATTGAACTCATGTAGGCATATGAACCGTGATCTGCTCTCTCAATGTTACAGACAGAAATAATCAATAAATTGACTCACTCATTGACTAGTACTCATAGAAAACATACATATTCATCACTTCATCCACTCATATTTCGGTGTGTCTGTTAATCACCTGATTGTGCGTATAAATAATTACTTGAAGTTCATGTTTTCCCAGTACAACTGGTATTCTGGATTCTGAATATTCTCAAATAAATTCATAGCATTACTACTTGGGCATTGGACAGCTAAGAAGAATAACATAATTTGCTACACACAGCTTGTTGAAATTAAATTCAAAAATCTGGAGTTTCTTCATTTAAATATTTCAAAGTTCTATCATAAAAGGAATCGCTCAACACATATCAGGAATTGATTTATCACTTGAGATTAGTACAAATTTTCGCATGATTCATATTGTTTTTAAATATAATAAAAAGTATGGTTAATTCGACTTACCACCTTCAGCAGTCACTTCTGTGTACAGAGAATGAAGATGAATTTTACTTACACATATATGCTAGACGAAAACTATTATCTACCTTCTAAAACATGTGTATGGAAATGAAGTAAGTATATTGAAAGCTGTATTGTACCACTAACTGTGTTGTATACCAACTGGGATGTTCATTAATTGTAACGATTATGAATTTTGCATAACATATTTAGGGCTGCACTTTTATAACTGAACAACAACTCAAAACAACTATAAACAAACACTAAAGTCACAATTTTCAATACAAATGTCAAGACGATTCTACTGTATGTCTTGGAAACTCGGTGAGCTACCAAAGTCATCATCCAGAGGATACAAGTATTTAATAACAGTTATCTATACAAAATACTTTAGATCCATTGACATGACAACATGTGCAACAACCTTCTGTGGTAAAGAACAAACCAGATCCCAGATCAGGAGGAGGAAGAAATCAGGAAGATGTTCTGGTAGTGGAGAGGATACACATTTAGGAAAGCACTCAATTGAATCGCAAGGAAAGCGCTCAATTAGAACCCTCAAAGACAAAGGAAAAGAGGAGGTCCAGGGAACACATTACTCCGAAAAATGGGGACAGATATGAGAAGAATGAATAAATATTGAGCGAACCAGGAAAAGGAAGCACAGGACAGAGAGTTGGTTGCATCATGCTGGCTGATAACCTATACTGCATCTGCAGTAACAGGCCTAAATAGGTAAGTAAGTAAGTAAGTCATTACGTTTTATGAATAAAATATAGTATTTTTAGAAGAGATGAATAATTCAAAATCAAGTGATTATTAAGTGATCCTTACATTGGTTGAATGATTTTTCGTGTTCTTTGTTTACTGCTTTCACAATCATATTTTACAATAATATTTATAATTCTGAAATAGTAAAAACTAAATTGTGAGCTCCAAAATCTAAATACCATAATCATCAGTTTAGCCACCTCGTCAAGACCGTTCGGTTGTATCAATATTTCAAGGTTGTGTACTCAGAAATTTATGAATGGTAGAGGTGGAATAGTAAAGCCTAACTAACTAAAAGTCATTACCATTATTCTGAAGTTGACGATATCGATAGTTGGATCGATGGTATCGTGACTAATGCAAATATTGGAAGTCATGGTTCAGACGATGTGGGACATCTTGAATTATGCCAATAGGTGAATGTTAAATGGCACTTAGTCTCGTACGTGAACGACGTAATCATCTCAACCGACGGAGTTTCCAGCGGTTCTACAAATAATATCATCTAGTAAAGATAACTACCGTCAAAATGATTCGTGAAACTCATACTTCAAACAATCTCATTCTTAGGATCGAATGCACAACGACAATTATGATGAGTAGTTTTATTACTAGGACGAAAGTACTGTCTAGTGCTGATAAGTTTTCAATAATACACAAATTGAAATCACTCTCAAATGACCGTGACCTACAATTCAAACCAATCAATACAAAACCCAATCAACTAAAGGTCACAATACATGTATATGTTTGAGGAAATCTCACTTTATCAGTTCGATACTCTACAGTATAATCCATAAACTAAAAAAATTTTAAATTCTTTCTCAGTGTACTTAGAAACATTTGCAAGTCAAATCTAAATCCCGTTTACTTCTTTTGATGAGTATCATCAGAGAATCAAAGTTCCACAACCAAATTAACTGTTGACTCCAAATTATTAACGATCGAATAGACAATCGTTGTTTCGCATCACAGAAACTAGATTCTTCAAACAAATGGAGTATTAATCACAAACGAAATACATTGACACCAACGTCAACCGACTATTTCATATATTTCAGTCATTTACAATACATAAAGCATATCATTTTACTCATCAAAAGTTTTTTAGACTCCATCAGTTAAACATCATACAATTAGTCATCTAACATCAAATCACTCTCATAATCGCATGCAAAATCAACATGTCGCATATATATATATATATATATATATATATATATATATATATATATATATATATATATATATATATATATATATATATATATATATATATTGTAATTAACCTACCATTGATTCCTACTAACAATATTAATGATAATGTGAAAATCACAGTAAATTGTAGAGAAAGTGAATTCATTATTGATGATCTGATGATGATTTCCACTAGATGAATGCAAGAAGAATGTAAATATTCACTATTTATTTGTGATTGTATCTCTCTCTGTCTCTCTCTCTCTCTCTGTGCACATGAACTGATCGATTTTCTACAGGATTTGTGTTCATTCCAACTAATTTCTAACTAAACAAACAATCATGGATTTTGAATGAGATTAAGTTTGCTTGATGCCATTAAAATCATAAGTCTATCCAAATGTGTTGTGATCAATATATATATATTTGAGTATAGTTTATAAAATGAGGGAAGATATTCGGTGATGCAGTTGAAACACATTGGAAATTCAACAAGCAGTGTTATGTTTGATAACAACCGTGTTCGAAAGCAAACTCATTCACTAGTTTGTGCGGAGTGATTTGTGGTAACTAGTAATTGCTTCAGTTGATGGTTATGTGTTCGATTCAACTTGTTTAATCTGTTTGTGATGTTGTAAAGTGAAGTGAGGCTCAATAATCAAGCAGAGTTGAACCCTGTTCGATGTAGGCTGCAACTACCGAAAACGATAAGTGAGGTTGTGCAATAGCTAGGATTGATTAAAGTTAGACATGAACACCGGTTGATGAAGGCTGAGCGGTATAGAATTTAAGCTTTCACGTGCAAGACCGATTGTCCTGGGTTTGATTCTCGCTAGTGAGGTTCATTTACGCGCTCTGCTGATGAGCCTCATAATTGGACGAAATGGCCGTCCAGTGTTTTCAGGTTCACAATGGTGGTATAACATTGATCGTTTCATTATTTCAATAATAATCCGACAAAATAACTTGTTATGGGAATTCTATAAGAATTGTTAGAGTAGGGTGAATGGCAAGTAAATTACTCATATGTTCAGGAGATTGATAGCATTGTTAAACCAATGGTAATAATATCAAGGTACGTGTATGAGGCCGAACAACTGTCAACGTGAATTTAATGATCTCAGAATATTAAATTATTTCTGTCTTATGGGAATTTGGCTTATTTGAAACCAATGAGTTTGTATTTATGTTAATGGTTGAAATTAGAAGAAATTAATTCAAGTCAATGTGAAGTAGTAAATAAGCAACAAACCTGATACTGTAAATAAGTTAACATTACAAATTTGTGACGGAATTTTTTAACATTTAAAAGTATTAATTATGCATTCAGTAGTTAGTAGTAATTTATTTGATGTAATGTAATATTTTTTAAGAGAAATACGGTGATTTCTCAATAAATGTTCTTTAAGAAAACTGAACATATGAGCTCCACAGTGGATAGCTTCAAGAAAAAATTTGACAAAATTGTACTCGCATAATGATCATCATCTGCTCGGTCTGGTTGTGTCTGATGCATATTTCGAAACTCGCTTCTTGTTTTCATTGTCTTTTGCTCAGATCACTAACTTATTTTATTTCGCTTATTATCTCTGTTTTCTCTTGTTTCTTCACAAATCGTTTTTCTCACACTATCTTTGCTATCTATCAATTTACTCGTTTACTGACCAGTAACATTGATAGTGAAATCAATTACTTCAATCCATCCATGTTTATGGAGTAGAATATTTTGTTTGTTTTAGGCTCTACTTGTTTGCTGTTGTACATACATTAAACTGCTTACTTCAACTTTTCCTCCATTTTTCGGACTCTACCTAAATTGATCAACATCACAACTCCTTAATCCGAAGACTGTCTACATAAAATTTATCCTAATGTTAGCACTCTGTATGAGCATTATCGACTGACTGAGTGTTACTTTGTCTGCTCCATGAAGCTGGAGTTCGGGAATGATTGACTCGCTCTTTTGAGAAGATCCTACTTGCGATTGCCGGCAAAAAATCCGCCCATGATTACTACTTAGTCACCTGCTTTATGTAAACGGAAAGAATTTTGAATAACTGTCCTATCATCTCAGTGACATGGGGTGAGAGCAATGACGTAGCTGTAGCCTTGAACAGTCCTCTACTATTAAGACATTGTGATGGGTTAAGAATGGCGAGCACTAATGTTAATATGTATTTCAAACGATGGAGTCAAGTAGACAGTTTAGCTAATATCTTCTGGTGTCGGTTGATAGAGGAATATATACTATTTATGCAAGCTAGACAAAATTGGTTTCGGAAACAGATAGTTACTGGGAAAAGAAACGTTGATGGCGACCAACCACCTGACTACTCGTGGATTGTAGACAGTGGGACTAGGTGATAAGTGCAAGATGAACGTAGATGGTGTGGCAAGAACAGAGATGGTACCCAAGTAAGCAGCGATTGTAACAAGAGGTCTGAGGAAGTTGCGTATTCTGGGAGCAAACGAATTACTATTGGCTATACTTTATGTCTAAGCCCTTTACTTCCCCTCAACATATACCAGTCAGTTAATAAAGCCAGGAATGCGTGTATTCATATTTGTAATCATGTAGAAGGAAGGATTATGCTGGGCGGTATAATGAAAAGAATACTCTAAAAATCCATTAGTAGTGTTTCATTGAACAGTGTTTGTGTTTAGCATTTGCTTGTAGTGGAGTACTTCTAAGAAGAAGACGCAACTGGTGAAAAGGAAACATTCTTTATTGTACTCCTTTTAATCAATTGCGTTTTCTTCGTAGAAGTATTCCACTACATGCTCACGACTCTTGTAACCAGGTTTATACTTCTTAGTCATCATTATTCAACTCTAGTTATTGTTTACTCTTATTGTATAATTTTAATGTTGCTTGCTGCCGCACAATAAACAATTAGGTCTTGGTTGACCAAACTCAGGTTTACGGCATGGTTCTTTGAATGATTGTGAACCTTTGTTTGAATGCCTGTTGGAAAAGGTTTTCGAACCCTTTATAGATTGGTAGCGGATTCCAGATACTGAAACTTTAGTTCTACATCATTTTTTGCTGTTTTATCGGCTGATTTGTGCCAGAGAAACATTTGACTGTATAGTTCTGGCTGCAATGCTTGACGTATTTCTTAATTTCAGTATAATTTGTTTTCTTTCTCAAATGCGAACCACTGAAATTGAGCATGGAGTTTGTATTTTGATCCATTAGTGTGAGTCACTCAAGAACGCTTTGTACGCTACACAGAAGAATCTAGTTCGGATTAATCGAATAAACTTTGATTCATTGTTTGTGTAAGATCCATTCTGGAAGGCTTTGTTTGTGAAAATCCCTCCAAGTATACATTTGTAATATGTCCTAATTGATTCCTTCAGTTCTGCATTTTATGAATCTGTTCAGTTCCATTTTGAGATGATAATATTTGTATTTTATCATAGTTTCTATTTTTTGTGCCTTTGCTGAGATTCTGTTTTTTTTCTGAACTGCATTATGTTGTTTAGGCTGATACCTAATTATGGAGACAGCCATATTGATTTGTTCCTCTGTTGGCTCAAATGGGTGCACTGGCTGGAAGTGTGCATTTTGATCGTGAATTGGAACACTCTTACAGAATTAGAAACACTCTATGTTATCACTGAAGGAACAGCAGTGGTAATATTCTTAAGGTAATAATTCACATTTTTATTTATGATAAATAATAAAACCTTTACTTACCCAAATCACTTGTTTTGGATTTCAGCTAGGCAAGAAGCGTATCTAAACTTCTTTGAGAGTTATTCCTCAATCCAAAGCTCAGTTTGTGTCCTACAGTTTGTTCGCTGGGACCAAATCTTGGGAATTCGGTCGCTATTCTTACTGGTGAGATCAGGTACAAATCTATTGTATCAAATCATTGTTTCGAAAGTGACCAGTTCAAATCTGATACATGATATAGTTTGCCATTTATAAGTTGAACAATTTGGTATGACACAATTTAATAAATCAAGTCTCTGGTCGACGGACTGATACATTACCATTTCAAGACATTCTAGCAGAGAGCATATGCTTTCTTATGGTAAAATTGATGAAATCATAGCTAGGCATGCAGAAACTATTTACACCTATTAGTTGATCGCCTGATTCTGCGTTTTATTCTCCAACGATTACACGTAACGGTTCCTCCCAAACACTATTATTCGATACATTCTTCCTGCCCAAATAAAACATTACGTTATGAGCATCGGCTTTACGGTAATTAAGCAATAATAATACCTAAACACAAAAACCCGGTCATTTCAGCTGCGTATTTATTGCGAGAAGTGATTTGGTTTCAGGTAAGTCAGTTCCTCATCCCATTTAACCCTTACTGACTAATCAAGAACTAGCAGATCCTCATTGGGTTTTCCGTGATACTCATTCGGTCGTAGCAAGTAACAAGACTAGACTGCACACTCCTCGATGTATCATTTCTCTTCCAACTATGCGTTTCGATAGCTTCACACATGAATTCTGGATTGACAGGGTTACTGATTGTCAATTAGAAGAATGTTATGGACAGAAACGTTATCAGAAGTGAGAACCTAATAATATAGTTTCCCAAATGATGAAAATCAGTAAATGTATCAAGGTATTACATTAGGTTGCTATCGTTTTCGTCTTGTTACCTGATTCAAGGAGCAGGTCCCGTAACCCATAGATACAGGACAACCTTGGACAAAGATCATTCGGTTGTGTATGTTTCACATTGTGACCGATTGGTTCACAGTTGTTCATGGACAACAATTAGTCAAGTTTGACTAATAATCTTTCACAGTGTAGAAGAGAGTTGGGCATGTTGGAAATTGTAGTTCATATATTGGGAAGACTGCGCCTAAATTAACTAGGAGAATAAAGAACAGAAAAAGGATCTGGTTCTAATGAAGTAGGAGAGGAGGAAAGCTTGTTTATTACGCAACATGCAATATCCTACACCGTTAGTAGGAACACAACTAAAACCTAAGTAGTGTTGACACAGTCAGACAGAAAATGCTATGAAGACAGTACCCTATGAAGTGTATTGCTAAGAGTGTGAATGTTATCAAACGTTCTGTCTGTTCTTGCTCCAGGTGATATTCTCAAGTAGAGAATTGGGAGGTACAGTGAAGTGGGTTTTTTTATCCTACTGGGAGATAATTCACAGTTGTCTTCATTCTTCGATAGCATGTTCTTCTTTTAAAACAAGTAATCTTGCGCGCACTTCGAGTCTGAAGTGATCTTGTTGAACTCCCACCGTTAACAGGAAACAATCTAGTTTTAGATGAAAAATTGGAATATATAAAGTTTCCCGGAGACAAAAACTTAGTCTTCTACATTGATAGCAACAGCTTAACAGACGATCGTAATCGTATCAATGTGAACCAACTGTGCGCTAGGTCTAGCTCTCTGAAATAGTCTACACTGTTTCTACTTGCGTCAGCAGCAGCATACACACATCCATTCACTAGTAAACACAGGATCTGTGGAAAAGTTACTGGATCTACCCGAAATCAGTTGCTGAGACCGTCAAAAATAACGTTGCAGTTTCGGATGACTTTCAGGTTTTATTCTCACAGTTTGTTATCATAACTTACCACTTTAAAAACTTACATCTTGCGTATTTTCCTCTTCTATTCATCTAACAATATACTTCTCGGTTTATTGAGTAGCACGAACAGTAGTGGCGTTGCCACCACTTCTTACACTCCAACAACTAGGAACACCAGAATAAGTTTGAACTCATGAGTTAGTAATGAGTTGAGAATTCCAGTTTCTAGCAACAGAATTGCGAAAAAGCTCAAAACTATGCTGTTCATTTGATGGTTAGAAAGGAGCTAACGATGAACACTCTCCATTGAGCGTAACAAAATACTTGGCACAGGTCGCCAAAGAAACCCTTCTAACATCTCAGAGACCTTCAGATAAACTGTCCTACATAATCCGAATCACGCATCACAAACCAATGTTTGTACGAGCAGCTTCTAAAACAACAAATGATCTCGCTGTGCCAGATGCATATTTCGAAACTCGCTTCTTGTTATCATTGTCTTTTGCTCAGATCACTAACTTATTTTATCTCGCTTATTATCTCTGTTTACCCTCCTTTCTTTACAAATTGTTTTTCTTACACTATCTTTGCTATTCATCAATTTACTCGTTTATTGACCAGCAACATTGACAGTGAGGGCGATGACTTCAATCTACTCGTATGCTTGCTTCTCCCCTAAACTCGTGTTCCGAATTTTATGCTGGGTCGGCTATTTTACCAGGATAACAAGCCACATACTTACTTAGGCACCTACAGTACGACTTTGAGGTTGGCATTTGATGAAGATCAATGACTTTCACTAACTTTACCCTCTTCCTAATGTAAATGCACATCACAACTCATGGTTCTTTATTGCTGATCTACCGAATTCCAAGACTATCTTAATAAAGTGATTCTAATTCTAAAACTGACTAATAGGAAGTGATGCTTGATGCTCAGATTGTCAGTGAGGGACTTTTAAGTAGAAAGTCATCAGGAGTAAGACACCAAGTTTGCTGCACGAGGTGGCATGCCACACCAAATGGTGCGTATCCAGGACCTGGAGATGGCATTCGAAGTACAAGGGCCAGAAAACGATGTGGACGTAGGAAGAAACCAAGTTGTGCCGCGAAACCAGAAGCGACCATGATAAACAGAGTCGAGACAGACGTAGTGGGAACCAAAATCTTGACCGGTTATATTGATTGGGGCTTGGGTGCACTGACCAGATGTAGCGGAAACGCTCGCACAATGAGTGGTATGTACGCAGTCGTTAAGGTCACAGCTCACATCAGCCCCCTTCCGATTGACATTTCCCAACAAACATGAACTTACTAACCTGCTCAACTACAGAAATACTCAACAAGTATATCTCATTTAACAACGTCTCGTAAATCACTCATGAAATCCACAAACCACACAGGAACTGCACTAGAAACCTAGTGCATTTTATAATCGTTTATTCAAAATGTGGCTGTGTCAAATTGTTTATGATCATATGATGCCGTGAATGTGTAATGTAAGAAAAAGAATATTACAGCAAATGTGGTAACATTTGTAACAATTTCATTTTGCATGTGAATTGGAATGCCTTACACAAGATACTACTGTTTGGGAATAACTATTATCATTACTATTATTATTTCTGTTATTACTGCTATCAACCTACTTGTTTCTACGGCATTGTTTGGGGACGTTCGGCTTCTACTTAGCTTTAGAATTCTCAGTTTTCTAATCTTTACAGTGCGACTACATGGACTCAGGTCTGTTATCGTGATAGCTATTGGTATTTAGAAATCCAACCGCTCTGAGACAGACGCACACTAATCACGGGATATACAAATTAATAAACAACTGTTTTATGACTAGAATTGGTGCAGTCGAGTGTCTAGACTGGCATCCGTTAGATAGTACCTAATATTTGAAACCATCGGGAAAAATAAAATTCGAGAGCACGGCAACTAATTGGTTTATACTAGCTCGTGAAAAAGGTATCGGACGTATTGGATATTGGACCTCGTTTGTATATGTTGCAACACAGTATCTATGTTCTACGCTGAATGTTTCAACCACTTGATTGTGAGTTTTGGGATTACTGAGTTTGGCGTCATTAACGTGGCCCTCTTCTCCTCTATTTCGGGGCGACCAAGGATAAATGTGTTGGAAGCAGACGAGCTAGCCCTGCGTAAATTGAACTTGCAATGTGACCTGTGAGACTACTCTGTAAACAAGCCTTCCCTCTGTACAAGGACCGCGTATTTCAATTTTTTAAAGTAAAAAATCTGTTTCTGCTACTCCGCTTTCCTCTTTGGTGTGGAGTTCCTGATTGGCATTGTATGGTATGGTTCTTTGTGTTCTATGTGTGTCAATAACTGCTACTAACAACTGCTACAGCATTGTTTTTAAGCTGTGTAGGGACTTAAGTATTCAGAGCTTATGTATGTCTTAAGGTTTCGGAAATTTCATGTGGTACACAAAATTTGTTACGGTTATTCTAACCATTACAGTCGGTATGCATCTTTCTCACAGTGTTTGCTACCGAAACAAGTGGACGCAATCGAATCATTTAGTTTATACTGGCCTATAAAATCTTTTGGAACCATTCGTGATGTTGGTAATGTCCTGTTGGACTAACTAGAAACAAGGAATGCGTATATTATTTAGCTGGTTTACAGTATCTAGAAGCCAGTCTACATATTATTCTTGGTGATTCCATTTACTTGGAGAGATTTATGTTTTAAGTGTTGGCGTACGATGAGTATTCATTACGTGGTTTTAGCAAATAAAGTCACTACTGATATAGTTTCAACCATTCGAATTATACATGCAGGTTGCATTCGTTCCGTTATGGCCCGAGTTTTGCTCTTTTGAACTGTCTTGTTTAGTTCTTTCGTTTCGTCGGTTATTACTTTCATGCTGTGGGTTACCAGATCTTTTTAGTGAATATAGCGTATGGCACTTCAGAGAAAACAACGTTCAATTCGGTAGCAGCTAGTTTAATTGTTCTGATCACCTCTGCGTAGGATAGCTCTTATTTTTTTGTTTGTAGAAGTTAAGCTTTCCCTTTCATGACTTGTATTAACCCACAGTCCATTGTGGTTTGTTTGACATTGTGACACAATCTACTTATTCCGTCCATAGTGACTGTTCTCACCTTTGCACAGTTTATGGCTAACATTATTCACACGAAAACGAATTATCCGACTGAAAGTAAACAAGTTAGAATGTGTATCTATATGTATAGCTGAATGACTGACTACATAGGGAGGTGACAGTTTCCACTCAGATGCATTATTGAATGAAGACACGTGACACTAGGTCATTTGTACTTCTTCCGCATTGAGAGACTCTTAATGCGAGCGTTGAAACTATGAGCAACACCTTTAAGCGCATTGTGATATGAGAAATGCTATATTGTGATAATTTTTTAATTCCAGGTTTATTCAGACAACTATGGCTCGTAACTTTAGTCTTCAACCTGAAAGAAAGAGTCGCATGACCGGAGTTCCTGTGAATCCTAAAACGAGGTAGATTGTTTGTTATGCATTGGTTGAACACTTTCTAGAGCTTCGTCTGTTACTTCCCAGGAACAAAAGCATATAAGTCGTGATGTGAAATCCAAAGAAAATATCACTAAAATGATAGGGAGTTTAATACAAGTAAGTTATCTTTTAAAAAGCTTATGCTTTACTTTAGTTTTTGGAAGCCACGGACTATTCAAACCCACTTTCCCCTAAAATCCTCCATTCTCCTAAGTCGAAGGAGATATTTTCGATATTCGAACATCTTGTTCGACAAATCGAGCCCTCCTTTCGCATTGAAAGTGATGCAACCAAAGCAGCAGATGTCTGCTTAAAGTAACAGTTATTTTCTGTAAAAGCAAACAGCATAATTTTTGTTTCATTTGTAGTCATCTTAAAATGTTAGGCTATCCAAATATTCTTAGTAAGCATCACTTATTAGCTCCTGGTGCTCCTCAAGCCTGGAATTCAGTTTTAGCGGCGTTTGATTGGCTCCGAGAAGAGATAGAAAATGCAAACGATGTATTTATTTGATTGTTCATCATCTTTATATTAACCTATGTAAAGTTTATAGATTTTTCGGTGTTCAGGTATGATGAAGATCAAGATACTGAGAAGGAGCCGTTGAATAAAATTATTTTCGAATTGAAATCAGTTATTTTCAGGCGAAGACGCGAAGGTGTTGATATATCTCCAAATGATATTGAAGTATGTTGACTATTTACGTGTTGTAATTGATGTTTTTTCTCTGTCTCTGATTTACCCCAGCCTAACGACCAGAAAATACTAAACAGCTTGAACTCGATCAATATTGTATTTATGGAGGCATAGTACCACAGACTCCCACGCTATGAGGATACAGTCTTATATCAGTGTTGTAACATTGTATCAATCATCAAACACAGTTCATTCCTTTCAACACTACTATTGATGTAAATACCACTGATTTTGCAGGCTCAACTTTTATTTGAACTTCTGTTCTATAGTAGTTTAACTTGGAATTTAAACCTGTAGTGATATTCATTTTCTGGTCGGTTGCAAACAACACAATACCTGGTAAACATTTTGTTCAGCCCAAGTATCCATACGTCACAACACAAGAAAAACAAGACCAAAAGCATAAGAACCTAAACAATATCGGCATTGATCACAAACTGAACACCATGGGTATAGTTTTTAAGCATTAGATCAAGTAGATGCGATAGGAGTGTTAAATAATAATGAAATGCAAAACTTCACTGAGGATAAATGATTGGTGCAACTGTCTCTGACTGATTTAGATTTGCGTTACATCGAAATTGTTGCAGTTGACTACAAAACCGACTGATCTTTAGACTCTGTCCGATAAATTATGAATTCCCCATCTACCTGCAGTCTGGCTAACATTATGCATCTAGATGACCGTTAAATGGACTTGGTTTTACTCCGTTGGTCATTGTTATCCAACGGTCTTATAAACAAGCTCCGTAATTAAGGTTTAGGTGCAAATTCTCCTCTTTTGTTATCTGTAGTTCTAAACATGTATGTTATAATCTGGATTCCAGCCGATATAAATAGAATGCATCTTAAGTGTATTTCAGCTCTGTTTGTATGAGAAAGTAGTGATTATTTGCAAAATAAAATTATATTGTTTCATATTTAGGATTATCGTTGTCGTATCAATGAAGTATTGAACGCTCCTAATAAAGATGACATGAATAAACTATACGACCGTTTGTATGAATTGGATAAAGAAATCAATAGCATGAATAGCGTAGATGATGAAGAAAGATCGTTAAGAAGTCAATTAGCTGAAATGGAATCCAATTTGAAGTCATTAAACGAGAATATGCACGACCGTGAAACTCAGATAACTAAGTTAAAGGTATATTTTTATTTTGTTTTATTTTAAAGTACTGTCATATGCTGATAGTTGTTTGCAGTAATTACTGTATTTTTCGAAAAGTCCCATTTTTATGTACGTTTTGTATGTTTATATCAGACTGATACCTAAGAGACTATCGAATAGTGTTATCAAGCAATTTCTTGTTCGTCAAATACACAAATTTAGACGGTATACTAAATGGCCTGTAAGGAGATATGATAATCTGTTAAAGATACGGGAGTTGTGACTTTGCTAAATCGATACTGGTCTACTAGCTATCGAGTCTCTGCCCTCAATCCACGATGTCCAGTTCTATCGAAACTGCTTTGTTGTATTGCTAGTTATCATACACCTCAAATGTGTATAGTGATATGACGGACCAAGTGGTTGAGATACTTGTTCTTCAAGTATGTTAATCTTCTGTTCCGAATACTGGTTTATGTTTCTGACATTTGTAAGCAGCTAGGTGTAAGGTCTTTCTAATCCTACTGAGTTACCTTTTATTGCTTGGTATTCTTCGGACACTACTCCAGTCCACTAGTCCTCAAGATGAAAACACTCGATACAAGGTTGTACTGTATTCTGAAATAAAGATGAGAGTTAACCAAATTAAAGTAACAGTTCGGAAACTGCCAGTGTGTTAATAGCTTAAGCACTGTTAAATCTTACTCTCCTGTGCCTACTCATTGATACTGATTAGCTCATTTTTAGTCAATTGGCATTCTCCAACACATTTTAAACTCGTATCCATGTTTCCATCATACATTAATTTCGTATTTTCTTATGTGTATACTTAAAAATATACTTCTTGGCAGTCTTTAGATGATGAGCGCACGAACGTTTTAAGAGAACTTGAATTAAAAATCAAAGAAGCAGAGCAACAGTTGGCAGTAGTACGTGCAAAAGTGAAAAAAGAAGAAGATGCTGGGTATGTTTTTTTCTTTCCCAATAAAAATTATTGATAGGTTTATCAGCTAACCATAAGTGTTTGCATTCAGATTGCTTACCACCTGTTTTGACTTTCTAAACTTTTCTCACTGAATCATATTTCTTGAATATCTTCTCATCCTAACCTTTCCGATTACTTCTAATACCTTGACTACCTCTTCTACTATTGGATCTGAATTGACGATTACATCTCTGTGCTGATGTGGTATGGCTACATGAACTGATGAACTTACGTACGAAGTTCTACGTTGCATCTGACTGACTGACCACCTGCCGATCGAAATAAGATGTAGAGTATTAAGACTTGTGACGTTAAATGTTGGGACCAACAAGTCTCGTAGCATTACTACATAATATTTGGGTCTAAAATATTGAATGATTTTTAATCTTGTGAGTTTTATTGACTTTGTTATTGTTACAAGAGTTTTTGATCATGATCATATCGGTGATCGGTGCTGATTTAAACTACACCAGTTAAACTATATCCAACTGTTGTTCACATTGATCATTCACTTTATTAACTGCCTAATCATTGTATTTTTTTTCACGTTTAGTTTTTATTATGAACAAATAACAGTCACTAGTATTCCTCCACATGTGTGTTTGTACTTTATGGTGTTTAATCATATTCTCTATGTTTGTTCTCTCACACTTTCATTGCAAGCACATGATTTCTATCTGTTTTATTATTCATCTCTGGTTGTGGGTGGATAAACATTTGTGTCAGAATCTACAATTGATGATGACTGATTAATCATGTAACTATTCGAATTCAGAAGACCATGGACAGGTATTTAGTTATCGTTTGAAACTAATCAACTCTGCGCAGATACAAGGGTATGAATGATTGAACCCGGAAATAGCGAGTATCGTGGTAGTCTGTTAAGTCCCATCCCAAAGGCGTACACTTCCAACCTAGTTGAAGATGGGGATATGTTGAACAATGACATAGAACCTTTTTAGTCGTGTTACTTTAAAAATCAACTCCTCCTAGAGCCGTTCTTGGGTTGCTGCCGGTCCGAATGCCGGATAAATGGTGGGAGTTGGGCTTGGGGTTAGCGACTGCTGTAGAAAACCAACTCGCTAAAACACGCTACCTGGAGTCTGCTGTGAATCTTTGAGAAATGCCCAGCAAAGGACTTGACCCAAATGTCATGTTCTAGGTGAACAACATCGAACATGAAGACATTAGTTATGACATTTACTCAGAGAAAGCACGAAGGCGGTGAGAGGTTCGCAAATCTAGATGCCTTCAACAAAATGGTCATACAAGGCATCATATTCCCACACAAACGCATACAAAAAGTGACATGGATTTCACCAGACCATACTACAAATAACTAAATCGACTGTTACTGCATCAATACAAAGTTCAAAAGGACCGTGCAAGACGTGAGAATCAAGAGAGAAGCTGACCGCTTCAGATTATCACCTGATAGTGGCCAAAAAGAAACTAAAACTAAAGAAGCGCTGGACAACAGGCTTTTTTGGGGTTACTGGAAAACTCAACGAATTCGAGATACCCCTCAGCAATAAGTTCCGTTGATTAGAGGAAATTGAGAGGAAACTACCATGGAGATAGCGGAGTGGTTCTCTGTGGATACTCTGAATAAAATCCAAGAAAGCAGCAGTCAATGACAGCCAAACAAGAGCATAGAAAGCAAAGTCACAACGTTGAGATCAGCAGGTTGGATTCCGTAAAGACCGATCATGTATTGACTGAATCGCTATATTATTGTGGAGCAACCAGTTGAATAGAATTCATCAGTTCACATGAACTTCATTGACTACGAAGAATTATCAGATGGTGGAGAGAATTTGTAGCTCAGGTAGATGATTGTGATCGAGTTCCATTGTTAGAGCTGGATGTTCTGGTTGTGCTGATGATGTTCTGAAGAAGGATGGTGAGAGCTCCACAACCAAATCATCCAGTTCAGGAAACGAAACTCAACCGCAACTACTAATTATGTATATGTAATTAATTCGACTTTCATTGATTTCTAACAGAACCTTTTTTTAAAAAAAGTAGAGGAGAAAAGGTGTAGGACTTAAACATTAAAATGCATGCATAAAGGTTATCACATAAATACACAAACTAATATCAGTTAAAGACCATGTTTATCATATTTCCTCTTTGTTCAATTCTTCTCTTAAACTTTTCTTTCTCTTCTAGTTATGGACGATTAGCTCAGGAATATGTTATGCTTCAAAAACGTGTCGATGATCGATTACGTGCTAGAGATGATTTAATTAAGCAAGTTGAACAAAAAGAATTGGATTATACACGTCGTGAAGGCACCATTGCTCCTACTTTGGATAATTACAATCGTCTTGTCGGTTCATTAAGGGTGTGTACTTATCGTTTTTTTTTATTGATAAAAAAATCTGTGTGCATATTGTCTGGTAATGATGCAAACCACTCTACCTGACTTTATTAGAGTGGTATATGGAGATTAAGTAGTTGAGAGATACCTTCGTAGTTTATCGAATACATTGTAGTATATAAATTTATTGGAGAAATACCTATTCATGTCTATTTTAGTATTTATTTATTAAGTTATCAGTGTGAGTACTCTTTTCATAGCTTAAATAACTCAACGATGATATCTGTGTTTGTGGTGTTGTGTAGTTATGGTTATTCTATATTGTTTTGCGGCTTACTAGTTTCTGTGTGATGTCCATTAATTGTATTTGAATCTAGTTGTATAAATAATCTTGTATTAGTTTATAGCACTTGTTTTATTATCAGTTCCTGGATCGATGTCGGTATGTGAGGATAAAAATGTTATCTTGTGAATCTACTCCGATCTTAATACGTTTAGGGATAGATAATTACGTGTGTCTAGGAGCCATTGCATTTTCAATGCATTTGTTGTTACGGTTTGTCAAAACAATGGCTTCAACTATAATTCGTGTTTAATCTGAAAACAATTCTTAGTATACGAGTTTATAAATATTATTAAATATGACAGTTCATTTCACAGACTAACCTCAGAGAAACAACTTTAAAAAATCAAAGGAAACGAAACAAGCTTTTCATCGTGCGATGGATTTAATTACCAGTGTGAAGGCGTTTCTGCGCTTCTGAAGAGTCCTATACTAAGAGAGAGTAGTTATCTACTTTTTCTGTATAAATATCCTTGTTTTCCACCATGTCTGGAAGAAAGCTAGGGACGGCCAAACTAAAACATGTCAGAAATCCATGAAGTCACTGACAAGTGCACTGAGTCATGTTGGTAGATATAAAATACCTGGTTGTAGGTCCTCGAGACGAAATTCACCGATGGTTCGAGACCTTTAACGACATGGCTCAAAATCGTTTGCGGTGACACAGGTGCATCCACTCTTAGTGTTCTCTCAGATCCTAATCCTCTGGATTATACATCACCTTTATCCTTTCTCTGTTTAAGTTTATTACAATAGTGTATGGTTCTTGACTAATATCCTTGAACCCTAATCTCTATGATTACTGCTAATACTTTTACTACCTCTACTACTATGGAATATGAAGCGATAATTGCATCTCTGTGTTGATGTGGTACGGCAACTTGAACTGATGTACGCACGTACGAAGTTCTGTGTTATGTAACTGATTGACTGACAACGTGCTTGTTACTACTTATATCACTTTGTGATACATCGTAATTAATTTATCTCTTTCAGTTATACCGGTTCCAAATTTACGTGTACTTATGACCACAGTATCTGTTGTAACGCTTGCTTAAATAATTCCCAGTTAAATCCTATTGCTTAGTATTCTCTGACCACAATACACTGAACAAGTTCCAAAGAATCAAAAAACACGGTGGAACAGGAAAAGAGATTATATTCCAAATAGCAAGGTTAAATGGAAATAAGAAGCCGAAGGCGAAAAAGAAACAACGTTAGTTTCTTTATAGTATTTACATGAGAAGCTTCTGGATTGTAATTCGCTTGATCTACTGGATTAGATTTAGCCAATCAGCATGCAGCTAACAACACAAGAATTTTCTACCCTGTTCCCCAAGAATCGATCAGGCGCTGATTGGATAGGGAGTTAGCCAATCAGCGCGCAGCAACGTAATCATGCTTTAATCCCGTCTATGTCCCACTAACATTATCCTTATTTGTTTGTTGTTACTCTCTTTAATTTCAAATAGAGCTGTCTTAAATTTCATATATCTACTTATTTTTTTTACAGAAACCACTGTTTTCACAGATTACAAAAAATTGTAATTTAGAAGTTTGCACATATCGTAAAGGATTCGATATTGCAAAACAATTACCATTGTTAGTTCAAAATGTCAAGACTTGTGTTGAACAGTTAACTTTAGCTTTGACTACTGAAGAACAAAGGTTGAACGAATTAGTTGGACGTCTAGAAACAATTCAATCGTCCATTGATAATTCAGTGAGTTTTCTAAATTTTGGTGAAATATTTTATGCTTAGGTTTACTCTTCATTACTTTAAATAGGGTTGAAATTTGTTGACTTCATTGTTTCTATAATGATGATTATCCTGTTCAACTGTGTAGTGAAAGAGAACACAGGTGGGGCAACCGAATTGTATTTAACGAAAATTATAGAGTTACTCAGTAAAATCGGAAAACCATATCGTAAATCGTTAATTTGCAAAATATCAGTTCATCATATCGAACTGGACTGTTCCTGTTGCAAAACATCAATCCATTGTCACTATTCATGCGTTTCATACAAATTCCATTGTGTTCTAACTCTTCCTTTCTTGATCTTCCCCCATCTTCGGCTGCCAGACATTACGTTGACGCTCACGTCATATACTACTTATAAGTAGCTCGCACCACAGTACCACACAACAAATATATACAAATGAAGGTGATAAGAATATTTTTACAAAATTTGGAGTACGACAATGAAATTTATTTCTGAGTACTTATGTTTGTTTGTATTGTTCGGAACATTTCTTCAAGTCCCCCGGAATTTTGATTCTTTAATAGTCTGGTTTTGTGTACTACTGCTGAAATTGTATTCATCGATAATTTTCGGTAATTTGATCTATCACATGTTTTTCAGAGAGAGTGAGTCAACGAAAATCAACCTTGAAAGACCGCTTATGTTTTATATTTCCGCCAATACGAAAGGTCGATGGTCACCTTGGCTTGATATTCTTCTTCAGTATCTCCACAGAAACTTTTGATCCACTTGAAATTTTTCTTTTCAGCACATTGATAATTTATCTAAATTGGTATATTTTAAAAGATATTATTTATATATATATTTTTTTCCCACTTGTCAGGAATTACCAGATGTACAAGTTAAATTAAATGAAGTAAAAATAGATATAGCTAAATTAGATGAACTTTTAACGGAAGAATGTAATGCACATGTGAAAGCTGAAGAAGAATATGTTAATTTATGTTCACAAAGAGCTAAAGAATTAGATCAGCTGAAAAAACAATTAATTGATGATGAACAACATCAAACAGAATTACGTGTAGGTTGTTGTTTACTTGTTGTTACTTGAAGACAGTTATATGTCTTTTTTTTCTCTGATTACATTTTTGGCAATAGTTAAATTTTACAATTTACATGATCGACTTAACCTTATTTTGACTACCATTTAAAACCAGGATAGAAAGACAGACAAACAGACAGATAGAACACAGAACTTCGTACGTATGTACAATCAGTTCAGGTTGCCATACCGCATTAGCACAGAGATGCAACTGTCAGTTCAAATCCAATAGTGATAGCGATAGTAGAAGTATTAGCAGTAATTGAGAAGATTAAGGTATAATTCAGTGAGATAAAGTTAGAAAGAGAAAGATAGAGATGATGAGGAATTCAAAAGGTTAGAATTTAACAGAACACAAGAAGTGGTGGATGCACCTGCGCCATTGCAAACGATTCTGAGCCATGTCATTCAAGGTCTCCAACCATTGGTTACTTTCGTCTCGCGGACCCCTACTAGGTAGCCTAAATCTACCAACACCACTCAGTCCACTTGTTAGTAATTTCATGGATTTCTGCCATGTTTTGGTTTGGCCGCCCTTAACTTTCTTCCAACCTACTCTTAAACCACGAAACTTCGCTCGTCGAGGCAGTATTTAAAACCAGGGAACATTGAACATCTCTTTTTTCCTGATATATGACTTGTTTGTAGTGCGTGTTCACAATCTCACGGTAGTTTAAACCAAGAGCCAACAAGTCTGACGAGAAGGACTTGAAATGCAAGCTACTGCTATATAGCATCCAACAGTTTACTTGTAGAACTTCAATCACGCCGTAATATATAATGCAATCGTCAAGCTATGAGTTTAAGATCTGGCTAAATTATTCCACCATTGATACCTTGCAGTTCAGTACTTATTTGAATCAGACAATTCAGCGAAGAAAATTTTCTTTTCAACAATTTCATTTACCGAAGCTGTATAGTCAATTTTATTTTCTAAAGTATTAGTCTGTGGTAAAATAAACTTGACGGTGTATATCATGTCATGATAATCAGTTATTGAAAGACACGTATTTGTTCACAAAACTAACTAACTATCGTGCTTCTGTAATTGGAGGTTTTATCCGGCTAAGTTTGAATCATTTATCCAATATAAGCCTGTATAGTATTGTTGACTTTTGTGTATGTTGAAACGCTCGCTTAAATAATTCCCAGCTAATTCCTATTGCTTAGTATTCTCCGACCACAGTACACTGAACAAGTTCCAAAGAATCAAAAATACGGTGGGACAGGAAAAGATTATATTCCAAATAGCAAGGTTAAATGGAAATAAGAAACTAAAGGCGATGGCGAAGGCGAAGCCAAAATAGATACATAGTTTTCAGATGAGAAGCTTCTGGAACATAATTCACGTGATTGACTAGCACTGACCGGATTAGATTTAGCCAATCAGCATGCAGGCAAAAACACGAGAATTTTCTATCCTGTTCTCCAAGTGTGGACCATGTGCTGATTGGATAAGAAATTAGCCAGTGTGTGCATCCACTAGTTTCACCCTGCACTACTCTTGTGAGAAGCTATCATACTCAAAGTTATTTACTTTTCTTAATGTTCATCTATTTTGGTTATATAAAAAGGACAAGACTAAAATTACGCAGTTCCATTTTGTAGACTATTTGGTTATTAGTGGTAGTGTTAGTGGTATTCAGTGTTTTTTGAGATGATTGTCATTATCACTGGTGAGTATTTTATTAAATGATGTATATTTTGTTTTTTATAGGCGAAACTTGAAGAAATAATTCAAGAAAGAATTAAAATCACCTCTTATGTTGAAAATATTAATCAGCAATTATCAGTGTTTATTCCTTATATCGAGGTAATTTCACTTAAATGGCAGTGATAAAAATCTTTTTTTGTGTGTGAATGTAATGAAGCCTTGTAGCGATGGTTTAGTGACTTCCAATTTATTTTGTCAATTCAGGTGCTATTATAGCTACTTCGATTATATTATCCAAAAAAAAATTATTCCAAATCACATACAAAAGGGCCACTTGATACTCAGGGCCACAAACTAGTCCTCAATTCAGTCATTAGCTTTTGAGTCTCATTTTGTATGTAAAAGTTTTTGTCAAAACTAAAATAAACTCCAATATTATATGCGTTCAAGTTATGTTACACTAATTTTGATGTCTCGAAAAGTATTGGGACACATTTGTTAAAGTTTTCTTTACTGTCAGTCATTTATAATCACAATTTCATGTTTTGTGATAAGAACCATAGTGTAAATGTGAATGAATCTGTACCACTGTTTCACGTGAGACTTTTTGCATCCACCTTGTTCAAGTTGGATATAATTTGATGAAAATTAAGATGGTATTTTGTTTGGTTAAGCGATATGATTGGTCAGCCAGTATATGTAGTCAGTTCTTACTTGGGCTTTAATTGAGCTGTTGAATTCAAACAATATCAAATTCGCTGTGTACAAGATGGCATTGTACAGAAATAATGTTGATATTCATTCATTATTAGGAATTTTAGTCATCAAATCTGATTCTCAATAGAAGTTGCAGACTCATATCTTGTTAATATCTAAAAATTCAAACTCTTTTCATTACTAAACTCTGTAGTTCGATGTGGGGATTGGAAGCGTTAACGCTACAACATTTTGTGATCATTTAGACTATCGAGTTCGTTTTGTCAGGTAGTCAGTGATGACATTGCTGTAATCATATTTCGATTTTCCTGTTTTATTGCAAGTAGATTTTATTCATTGTAGTCCTTCTGACAAATAGAAATAACTGTATATTTACGGTGATATTCTGTTGAGTTGGCTTCATTGTTATTTATTAGCTGTCATGTATGTTTCGTTAACATGTTCATAGTTTACCTAATAAACATGTGATTTAAGACCAGAAACCCCTTACTTTACATCAACAGTGTTCAAAGGATCTTTGAAATTCTTCACACTTGAGGCTCTCCAACAGTCTTATCTAATTGCACTTAATCGTCTTAAATTTTGAAAGCATCATCTGATGGATAAAGTAGGTAGTCTGATAAAATGATCGGACTACAAACCACGTACTTGCAATCATTCTTTATCGAATTTTCGGATGCATTTTTGTGATACAGCATCTTAAAAATATGGACGCTTGTAGACCTTTACACCTAGAGTGTGTATTTATCGTCTTTACCTCTCAGTCAATCTACAGCAACGTAGAACTTTGTACGTACGTAAGTACATCAGTTCAAATCGCCATACCACTCTAGCCACAGAGATGTAATTGTCAATTTAAATCCCATAGTATTAGAGGTAGTAAAAGGATTAGCAGTAATCGGGAAGATTAGGTTTAGAAGATATTATTCAAGAAGTAGAATCTAGTGAAATAAACTTAAAAAGATCAAGTGATATGGAATTCTAAAAAATATTCCTAGTGGGCAACACTTTAGACATTGACAATTGTAGTAGTAGTTGTTGTATTTACTAGTTAGTTGATAATGCTTTCGATTTTGATGTGCTGTTTGTAAGTTTTACTATTTATTGCCTTATTTTGAGTATGATCATGATGATGTTGATTAAGTTGGTCATCTATTTTCTTTTTTTCATTTAGTCATATTTTAAAACCAAAGAGTCTGCTAATCGTATCTGGCAAATGCATGTAAATTTACTACGTGAAGAAGTTCAAAGTTCAGCACGTCGTATTGAAAATAAAGTCAAAAAAGCACTTGAAGAAGATTCATTGTCTGAATAAAAATTTTCTCAAAAAAAGTGATAACTTTACCCCTGTAAATAAAATAACTTCAGTTGAATTTTGTAAATATCTCATTTTCTTAAAAAATATTATTATTGTTTTGTGATTTGTTTCATCGATAGAACCTGTTCACAATGATGTTTTTGATGGTACTTGAGTTTATAATATCTATTTTTGTATTATTCAATTGTCGAAAATGTTTTTTTAGGAAATAGTTGTTATGTTGTAATTACTTGTTCCGCTACATGAATATGAATACAAAGGATCTTACCACTAAACATATTTTGCTACTGGTTTTTGAGGATCGTTAGTTGTGGAGCTCTAGTGAAGATGTTTTAGTTCGTTTCCGACAAACACCTAAACTCATGAGATACAAAAGCCAAACAGCTCTGGGGTTTTCCTACTGTACTACTATCAAACTGACAGTAGTGTACTTACGTAACTCATGTTTCCGTTCTACGAATGTCAACTAGTTTTAGATAATGATTTGCTCTAGTAAAAACGGGTAAATTTCTTAGCATAGTTAGACTACTAAAGCAACGGCAGCTTGTGGGATATACTTCTTTATTTTAGTTACATTGGAACAATCAATTCATATGTATATCGTGTTACGGGTTACTTATGTCAAGAGATCCTTGCAGATATGCCACAATTCAGTTATGTCACGAGGAGATAAACTAAACTGGCTAGTTATAGTGATGATGTTCACCAATCCATATATCATACAAAATAATTCACTAAATTCTCGCTTGGTTCGGACTACTAATTAGCTGTTGAACTCACATTTCTTGTCTAGATTTCTTGTTTTCACACCTTGAACAGTCTTCGTGAAGAGTTTTTTTTCTGGAAGTTAGGGATTTATGAGATAACTACGTAGGTAATTCAGATCAAATCTAATGAACTAAGAATTGCACTACATAGTAATGAATCGACTTGACTGTGAATTACGATAAGACCACCGATCGTTGTTTCCCTCTGGAAATATTCTCGAGTATATTACATTTTTATATTGGCATAAGCGAGTGCAACATCCAAATTATATTGCCGTTAGGCAAGTGTTCTTACGTTTTAGTGTTATTCTCCTATATTCTACTCGAGTATTCGTTGACGAATTTTGTACATGTATAATGAATTCCTTCACCAACTAAAGTCTATAACGACATAATCTTTGGGTTTATGCAATGTGGCCTCTGTTGATTCATTTGTTTTTGTCGATTTTTTGGCTTAGCCACCAACTCAGCTGGTTTGAAATAAGCTGCATAAAATTGGCTATTTTCGACAGGTTCATGACCAGATTTTCTCATATTTTGCCGTTGTTCAACAAACAATTTCCGCTCAAGTATCGGCCGCTTCTACACTAAACAACTTATAATGTGGACAAAGAACACTAGAGAATTTTTAGAAGCTTGGCACTCAGGTCAATTAGCAATCAACAAACACATCGACATTGACCCAATTTATCAACCGATCAGGAAAATCATAGGTGACACAGGATCAAGAAACAGGTCAAAAGGGGGAGGCAATCAAAACATAGTTGCAAACAGCGACAGGTCAAAGGTCAACAGCAACCAATCAAGATCGAGATTAGCAGAACAAGCTACAGGTCAAACGTGGAGAAATTCGAATGCTTCACTTCTATCTGAAGTTTGTGCTGATGATGTTGTTCTGAAGAACAATGAAAGCTCCACAACCAAAACAACCAGCTCAGAGAACGAAACACCACCACAAGGATTTGACTGTCTAATTTGGTCTCTTGTGCATTTACGGGTATGAGGGTGTTTCGTTCTCTGAGCTGGTTGTTTTGGTTGTGGAGCTTTCATTGTTCTTCTCTAGTGTTCTTTGTCCTTCTACCCAGTATTTCCACATTGTTCCAATCAAATGTGTGTCCATAATTGTCGGTGTGTATTGATATAAGCGAAGCGTTGTCGTGGCGTTTGACTGCTAATTGATGTTCACGTAAACGGAGCTGAAGAGGTCGTCCACTTTGTCCTATGTAGTGTTTTTCACAGCTTGAGCAATTTATTTTGTAGATGATATTTGGTTTTTCTTCCTTTGTCATTTTGTCCTTTGGTCTACATAGGATTGACTGAAGTGATTCTGTTGGTTTGTGTGCCACACCTATTCCAAATGGTTTCAGTAATCGTGCCGTATGCTCCGATATGTCTCTGATGTATGGCAGGATGATGCGTTTATTTGTTTCTGTGCTTGATTTCACTCCTGATGATGGTTTTGGTTGATGTTTTCTGATGAAGTTGCGTGGATAGCCGTTCTTTTGGAAGATAGTCATCAGGTGTTTTTCCTCGTTTTTCAATGTTTCGTATGTGCTGCAGTGTGTCTTCGCTCTCTTGAACAGAGTTTGTATGCAGTTAATCTTGTGGGTTCTTGGGTTGTTGCTATCGTAGTTGAGAATTACGTCGGTGTGGGTCGGCTTCCGAAATACTTGAGTTTCTAGTTTTCCTGTGTTGAACAACGGCAAAATATGAGAAAATCTGGTCATGAACCTGTCGAAAATAGCCAATTTTATGCAGCTTATTTCAAACCAGCTGAGTTGGTGGCTAAGCCAAAGAATCGGCAAAAACAAATGAATCAACAGAGGCCACATTGCATAAACCCAAAGATTATGTCGTTATAGACTTTAGTTGGTGAAGGAATTCATTATACATGTACAAAATTCGTCAACGAATACTCGAGTAGAATATAGGAGAATAACACTAAAACGTAAGAACACTTGCCTAACGGCAATATAATTTGGATGTTGCACTCGCTTATGCCAATATAAAAATGTAATATACTCGAGAATATTTCCAGAGGGAAACAACGATCCTTTCTACACATAATAACTCTCTTATCTCGTAATCCAACTCTTCTTTCGAACGTATATCGCCTCGCGGCACTGAAGCAAACGATACAAGCTCACGAGAGGTTATTCCACGTCTCATGAAACCCCGTACTCAATTACATACTGGGGCTTTCAATGTTCGAACCCTATGCCAAATAGATCAACAAGTTTCATTAGCTAGAACTCTGGAATCCCAACCAATCGATGTATGTTGCGCCTCCGAAACGAGCATAATAGTTTTGAATAAAATCAATTTGATTTCACCTAGTGCAGATAGAGACATAACACGGTTTACGCTTCGTGTTTCTGGCAGCCGTGAAGCTGTATAACATTGCCTCGCTAGGGTAGGTATAGTAATAGGTCCTAGGGTAGAACTAGCTCTCTTGGACTGGATCCAGGCAGACAGTCGCTTACGCGCCTTCCGAATAAATGGGACGGTACGGACGCGGGAGGATAGGGACACTCGCCGTTGCCTCTTCGTCGTAACTGACTACGCTCCCACTGACTGCAGTTCATATGAGGTGAATGATGAGTTTTGCAGAAAGCTTTCAGACATACTCCAAAACGTTAGGCGCTCTGATATAGTAATAATGGCTGGTGAGTTTAATGCTCAAGTAGGCAGACTCAGCGAAGAGGAAAGACGTCTGGGTGAATGCTATGGTGTCGCGGCTAATCGAACAGATAATGGTGACCGTGTGATGCAACTTTGCTCAGATAACCACCTCTTCCTAGCAAATACTAATTCTAAGGAAAACCATCTTTTGATCTGGCGATCCCCAAAGTCCCCAACGATAGACGCAACTAGATCACATCGCTATAAGCCATCGATGAAGAGGCTCTATGGAAGACTGCTACTCATTCTGGAGCACTTGTTAAGACTCAGACCATGTTCTAGCGCGTATTTGTCTTTGGACATAGGAAAAATATCGGGAAGAAATCTGTTAAGGCTCCACTTAATGATAATAAAGCTATGAATATATTTCAGGAGCAACTGGAGAGATAAGCAGCCATGGAGTAAGCGATGCACACCATGAGGCAGCTTGAAAAGGCTGTGAAAACAGCAGTGACTAGTAAGGTTAACCATAAGGTTAAGGAGAAACCGTGAATTTCAGTAACATCTACGGAACTGATGGATGCTCGTAAGTTCATCCTACCTGGCTCTGAGTAGGATGAGCAGCGGAGTAAGCTTGGGCGTAGGCTGATAAAAAGCCTTGGTAGTGATCGAGAACAGTGGTAGGTGGCGAAAGCAATGGCAAAGGTAGCGGCGATAGGCAACAGCAGACAACTGTTCCGCCTAATCAAGGAAACTGGTATTAGGAATCCATCTGTTAGCGAAACTATCTCAGAAAAAGATGGCTGTATCATTCATTCTCTATCCAGGAGATTCGATCGATGGGCGGAACACTTCAGCGATCAGATCAACTGGCAATCAACAACACTTCGGTTGTCCACAATCTCCAGTCATCCTTAATTGCAAATTGATTTAAGTCATCGGAGTCTATACGAAGTTGAAAAAGCGATAGAAAATCTGAAGCGATGGCGAGCTTCATGGCCTGGTGGACTGACATCTGGGATTTTTAAGGATTGTCGTCCAGTTTCAGCGTTTAGTTTGACTGAGATATTGTGTAGGATTTGGAAACTGGACGTAATCCCACCCAACTAGTTTTAATCACTGATTGTCCCAATTTATAGGAAAGAACAAAAGTCCTCTTGTGACAATCACAGAGGAATCACTTTCACCAAAATAGTTCAAAAATTATTAGTCTCAATAAAACTTAGACGCCTGAATAGAGCTCGTGAAGAGCAGACGACCGTGTAAGCAATGCTCTTGTTAGGAAACCGTTTCTAGGAAGAATGGCACGTCATTAGATGAAGTAATGAAAATCCATCAATTGAGGTGGTTGAGTCATGTGTTGCGTATGCCTAACCACCGACTGCCTCGTCGAGCTATATTTTGCGTAGTAGGAATAGGCTGGACGAAAGCTAGGGGCGGTCAAACCAAAACATGGCACAAATCCATGAAGTCACTGACAAGTGGGCTGAGTCATGTCGGTAGGTGTCGACTACCTGGTTGGTGCCCGTGAAATGACAATAATCGATGGTTAGAGACCCTGAGTGACATGGCTCAAAACTGTTTGCAATGACGCAGGTCCATTCATTCTCTGTATTCTCTTAAATCCGTACCTTCGGAGTTCCTCATCACCTTTACCTTTTTAAGTTTATTGAACTAGATTCTACTTCTTAAATGATATGTTCGAACCCTAACCTCTCCGATAACTGCTAATACATCTACTATCTCTAGCACTGGGATTTGAAGTGATATTTGCATCTCTGTGCCAATGAACTGATGTACGCACGTACGAAGTTCTTCGTCACTGTTGACTGACTGATACTCGACTTGAAATGTATTACTGATAAGAAACATAACCATAGATCGCATTATACATATATTTGCTATGAATGAATAATCCTTTCGTAATGATTATATCCCAACACAGAGAGTTAAGCTTTATGCATTGTTAAATAGACATATTTTCCAAGTTAAGCGTTATAAGTTAATGTGCACATGTGTGTTTAATGTGACAGTCAATCATATTCTTGTTGATTAGTTGAAGTAAAAGCTTGGTAATTGTTATTCGTAATCTACCAATTGAAAACTAAACGTAGGTATTGCATAACTACTTCTTCTCTATATTAAGTAGACAATAGTATTATTATAGCTCTGCTAGGATCTAACGTGGAATGAATCCGGTCTCATTCACTTCCTTCTCGTAGGTTGGATGTGGTCTCAGAAATCGATAGGGCCAAGAACGAGTGACCGGTGCCTGAACAAATTTGGTAGGTATATGAGATCCACCTAAAAGAGATGACTGCAGGATCATGAGGAAACAAATGACCCATTGTCGATTGCCGACTATCATGGAACTGAATCTCCTGATGTTGCTATAATAGACTAGTATTTCAAAGGCTCAGCGAGTGACACTGCTTCTACCTGGGCAGTATCTCACCATTCTAATAAATGCAACAGACTTTATAGTGCATCAGCATTTAAGTGCCACTTTGTACCAAAACTTAAATATAATAAAAATATGAAAACAAGGGCATACAATCAAGAAAATCTTGTTACGAAAAGCCTAAAGTTAACGAATTCCATAATTCACTGCAAACATAAAGAGAAAAATGAATTTTAATATACAGCTACTTTTTCTTTTTGAAAATAACTTTATTAACGATTATTTTGACATTGACATAAAGTTATCAATAAAACAAATCACTTTTTATCCATCACTGTGTAACGTTTATTAAGGTCAAGAAAATTTTGGTTTAAGTAAATTGTTTCAATAATTTTAAATAACCAGTAGTTGCATACCGATATGTATTTTCACAATGGACTATTTCTATTTTGTAATATGAATTTATACAGCCATACTATTTCTTAGTTCAATAATTTGCAGTATTAAATACCTAACAATAGGTATTTTATGAAATAAGTGGAATGTGGATACCAGTGAAATGTAGTATACGTGCTTCGTCTAATTTTGTAAGTATCAGCTGATTGTACGTGAGTTGTAGAGTTCACTCTGTGATGATTTGAAATCTGGTACTTTCGCATCAAACACTCACAGCGTCCCAATAGCCAACTACTCAATTGCACAATGCAAATAGATTTGAATTCAATTCTTTTTAAAGAGTTTTTAGATAGTTAAGCTTTTGATTGGTTGATTTTTAGTCTAATATATCATTTAACATAATCTAACAGCTATAACAACTGGTAATTAAATCTTTAATGACCTATTCAACTAAGATGTGTTATGCTCGTCACGCCTGAAACTATTACGGGTTCAGTTTCGTCGATAAACGAGAACGAGACAATGAACCAGCGTCCATGTAGGCTACTCTGATCTGTTGATCAAAAAGTCTTGATATAACGTAGAAAGTATATTCTACAAACACCCAGCAAGCACAATGATCTCTAGCACACGAATCGTGTTTATCTATACATCATTGAAACGTCCTAGGGAGAGTCACAAAAATAGCACACTAAAATCACACAGTAACCAATCATAGCCAAGGATCTTCCTGGTGGGAAATGTGATCTCAAGGTCAACTGATCAGCCCATGAATAAAATCCAAAACTGAGACATTTATCAATCGAGTTCTGGGGGATCTAACATCCACAGCAGATGTAAGATTATAATACAGTAAACATAACTTATCAATCCAATTATATTCTTCAATTTAGCCGTTTTATCAATTGATTAGGAAATCTTTAACAAAATATGAGTAGTTATCACTACTGATCAATATTATTCGTTCACTCATTTACGATTGTAACTTGTAAACAATTTTTTATCGTATAAGGAAGAGTAAAATATTTCTTTGATGATTTGAGTAATTCAGTATTATCAATGTTAACACTGTAGAATACGGATAGATTCATTTATTTCTCTTTTACTGAAGAAGCAGACTAAACAAATTGGTAGTTATGAATGCAGGAGATATGAAGAGATTCTGCTTTATTCATAGTTGAAATCACAAACTGATATTAGCAGCTATACCACCATTGAAAACCTGAAAGCACTGGTCTGCCATCTCGTACTAGCATGGGAATTGTCAGTGATGCTAATCCACGGTCCTCTAGCGAGTACGCCTAACTCCTAGGCCAATGAGGTGACATTCATTGACACTAACATCTAACCCCAATCAATCCATGATCTTGCGTAACTTTCATCCAATGCTCCCGTCCGATACAGATTGATCTCCATTGTCCACAGTTTCTCATACCGTTGAATGGTTAAGAGTTTAGGCGTTCATGCACGCAAGGCCGATCATGGATTCGATTCCTGCGTGCGGAGATTATGGATGCGTACTGCCGAGGATTCCCATATTAGGAAGGAGCGGCCATTCACTGCCTCCAAACTTTTAATGGCAGTCTAACTAAGATTAGACTGAGATATCAAATTTGAAAATTAATTGTTGACGATATTTTCAAGATTATACATAGTATTATTCTTAATAAAAATTTTCTTCAGACATTACTGTCTAAAGAGAAATATAGAGTTGCATTCTTTTAACTCCCTACTATAATTCACAAATTCAATTTCTTGTAAATAATTTACATAAATGCTAAAAGACAAACAAATAATGTGTAGTATAGGGTCGTGGAGATTGTTGAGCTACTTTGAGATCAGTGTATGGTCACTAATATAAAACCTGGAAGCAATGGATAGCCGTTTCATCCTCGTATGGGACTCACCAAAAAAAGCGCCCCCACAACTCCTGCCACTCGCACGATTCGAACCAGGCACCCTTGATCTTTCGCACGAACACTTAATAAGAATTATCGTGTGCTCACTTGTGACTAACTCCACGAGGAAGTTTCTCCGACTTCTAGTGAGAAGTGACCAGTGAAGTTCAATCTTGTTCCGGTATAAAACAGTGCTCACCCAAGTCAATGGATGACGTTGTGCAGAACCGCAGATTGATCAAAGTTAGACACTAACACTAATTGATGCCGGCTTAGTGCTCCAGAGGCTAAACATTCGCGCTCAAGACTGAAGGTCCTGAGTTCTGTTCCTGTGAGTAGCGGGAGTTGCGAACATGCACTGCAGATGAGTCTCATTCTAGGACGAAATGGGCATTTCAGTGCCTCCATAATTTCAAAAGAACAAATAAATGAGAAAATCTCTACTGTATACATGTGAGAAAAAGAACAACGTTAAAATATTCTTCTTTCTACACAAATATCTGTACACATTTCAATCATACACGCCTAATTATACACAGATATGAATCAATTTAACATGACATAGACAAAAGCAATTACAAATATGTACAAATTGAAATTAGATTCACGCGCACACACAAAAGTAATAATACTAGCTATTGTTGTTGTTGTTGTACTTTTTTCTGCATACTCTTTAAATTTTCAAATAATAGAATCATTATTTTTAATACAATGATGATTTCTCAACCATACATCAAATGCTTCATGACATGAACGTATAAGACATTCAGGTGAACAAAATAATCCATCTAATCGTGGATCATCTAGGACTGCAGCTTTTGTACATGGACAAGATGGGATGGAATTTTTCTGGTTATCCATGCTATGGTTATCGTCATCATCATCATCATAATGATGTTGATGATGATTAGGGATAAGATTAGTAGTAGTTGTATTATGAGTAGTTAATCGATCGGAGGATTTCAATGGAAGGAATGTGGACAAAGGGAGATTATCATCATCATCTTCTACTTCTTCATCATCAATAGAATTTGTATGATTAGTGTCAATCATATCAGAATCATCAGATGAAGAGAATGAAGCCTGAAATTGAAAAGAAAAATAATCAATAAGTTATATTGAACAGATAAATAAACTAATTGAAAGAAGTTGATATTGTACATGTATATGTGTGTAGGTGTCTGTATGGATAATTATTGTTCGATTAGAGAACATACATTTATTGGTTTGGTAAATATATGATAAAGATAACTTGGACATTCATTGTTATGTATGCCGTTTTCTTCCCACCCCTCGAAGTGTTGCTTCAAAATTGGCTTACATCAGCAGCTCAGCTAGTGATAGGGAGTGAAACAGTTGAGCGGGTAGACTGCTTCACTTATCTGGGGATTCTTATCAGTGCTGATGGCCTGGTGTGCAACGAAATCTCAGAACGAATATAGAATGCTCGACTGGCTTTTGCCAACCTGCGTCACTTATGGCGTAGGCGAGATATCCGTTTGTTAACCAAAGGACGAGTGTATTGTGCAGCAGTTCGCTCCGTTCTCCGAAATGGATGCGAAACATGGCCAGTCAGAGTAGAAGACATTCGTAAGTTACTGTTTTTCGATCATACGTGTCTCCGAAGCATTGCTCGTGTATCATGGGACAACCGGGTAAGCAATGCTGTCGTTAGGGAACGAGTACTAGATAAGCATGGCAGATCGATTGATGAAGTATTGAAACTTTATCAGTTGAGGTGGTTGGGATATGTGTTACGAATGCCCAACACCCGACTGCCTAGAAGAGCTATGTTTTGCGATGTAGGAATGGGTTGAACGAAAGCCAGAGGGCGGTCAGACCAAAACATGGCACAAATCCGTAAAGTAATTAACAAGTGGACTGAGTCATGTTGGTAGATGTAGGCTACCTGGTTGGGGTCCGCGAGACGATCGTAACCGATGGTTAGAGACTATGAACGACATGGCTCAGAATCGTTCGCAACGACGCAGGTGCATCTACTCTTTGTGTCCTCTCAAAATTTAACCTTCTGAATTCCTCATCATCTCCGTGCTAATGCGGTACGACAACCTGAACTGATGTATGCACGTACGAAATTCTACGTTGTAACTGACTGAGTGACTTATAATAAGACTACGAAAAACCAGTAATATATTTTTACAGTTAATTTAAATGCAAACGCTGAAGGATTGTGGTAAAATAACACGAATGTTGTGAATATTAAATGTACAACAATTAATATATTCTTTGGTATTGGTCCTATTCACAACTGTATTTCTCGAATTTTATGAGTGACGTATAATTATGCATATCCTTACAGTATTGAATCATCAGTCAGTCAGTGAGATGCAACGTTGAACTTTGAACATAAGTACAGCAGTTCATGTTGTCATACCACATTAGCACAGAGATGCAATTATCAATTCAAATCCCATAGTAGTGGAGATAGTAGGAGTACTACTGGTAATAGAGTAGATTAGGGTTCCAAGATATTATTCAAGAAGTATAATTCAGTGAGATAGATTTAGAAAGATAAAAGTAGAGGTATTGAGGAATCCAGAAGATTAGGATTTGAGAGAACACAAAGAGTGAATGCACCTGTGACATTGCAAACGATTTTGAACCATGTCATTCAAGGTCTCTAACCATCGGTTACTATCGTCTCGTATTAAATCATGAAATGTACTTAACTAGATCACTGTTGAAAGCCTAAAAGTATTAGTCTATTTAACAATTCATGAATGAAAACTATAAGTTTTCTTTAATCAACACAAATCTTTTACAGTAATAATTATCTTAATCATACCATGTGTGTGTGTTGTACTCAATACTTTTATATTTAGTGGATGAGTACTCACTTAATAATATACACAGTGTTCATATGAGTAGAGATTTCATTTTAAGCAATGTGCATAACTTTTTTTTTATCATAAAACTTAATTCTATGATCGATTATCAATTAAACTAAATAAACTTTAACAGAAACAATCAAAAAATGAAGAATAAATTACTCTGAATCATGAATAAATCGTCAACCAGTCTCAGCTACAATCTGCAACTGCGTGCGTACATACATCGGCTCAAGTTGTCAAACTACATTAACACAGATAGATGCAATTGTCAATTTAAATCTCATAGTCGTAGAAGTATTAGCGGTAATGGAGAAGATTAACGGTCGAAGATATTATTCAAGAAGTATATACCAGTGAAATAAATTTTTTAAAAACAGAAACATAAAGATGATGAGGAAGGTTAGAATTTGAGAGAAGAAACGATTTTCAGTTATGTCTCTAACCATCGGTTACATTTGCCTGGCGGATCTCAACCAAGTAGTTTATACTTACCAACATGACTTAGTCTACTTGTCAATGACTTCATAGATTTCTGCCATGTTTTAGTCTGGCTGCCCATAATTTTCTTCCAACCTACTTATACATCACAAAACATTATCTAGGTGAGACAATCAGCTGTCAGCATACGTAATACATGTGTCTCAACCACCTACATTGATGAAAATTCACTACTTCACCAACTGAATGAATAAATCGTGAAGGTAAATTAATGAAATTTACAGTGAAACATTTTAAAAAGTAATAAACTTAAAGTAATTTCGTCAATAATACAAATCAAAAGAATATCAAAATAGATTTTTTTTATCGTGCGAAATTTTAAGAAGCAAGATGAATGCAGCAATTGGAGTTGTACACAGGAACAGTTCGATTCTATCACATACACATAAAAACAAACACCTATGACGCTTACAAAAAAGATCTGCAAGTTTGTTCATTCTATTCTCTGAATTAAGTGTCCTCTTCGACAATATAATCAACATTCAATTCACATAAATAGAACTTTAAAGAAAAGAGAACAACTGAATCAATTCATAATCTAAGAATATTAAAGATTCCCATTGCGAAAATTAGAACGACACATAAAAGCGAACAATATTATTGTTTTCAATTAGATCGTTATCAGGCTTTACTCTTTGATATACATGAATACTTATATATGAAAATGTTAAACCAACCAAGACAATTTGAGTCAATAATCACAATGAAATGAAATAGATGATTACGTCAATACACATACAATAGACAAAAGTACAAGCTGATAACAGTAGGAGGACAGATGACTACTGATAGTAGTAAGAAAAATAAAATACGATAACAAAAGTTTTATCAATAGTAGGTCAAAGGTGGATGAATAGACATCAAATAAACATTAAAAACATCAAAACCATTACGTAATAAACAAATGTGTAAAAATAAAAATAAGATAAAAAATATAGAATGTCAACCGTTAGTTACGTCATATCCGGCCACGGAAGGGATAGAGGTGTCACGAATTTCTTCTGAACACATAAATTGGGCTTGAATGTATGAATTCCTATGGCTTCTGCTATGTGTAGGAGACGGGGTCGAACTCCGTTGGGAAATGATTGAGGTATACGATAGATCACCCGAAAAGATCTAGACTTATCTACAATATGACCATTATCAACCAGGTGTGCTAAGATTGAACTGCGTATTATTTTTGACTGACCTTTCTTAAACCATGCTGGGAGATGTTCACTCTTGTAGTAGTGACGTCATCTTTTTCATTTCATTGTAATTATTGACACGACGACATGAGAACAATGAAATCATCATCATCATCATCAACAGCAACGTGGAACTTGGCACGTAAGTACAGCAGTTCAAGTTACCATACGAAGTTAGCACAGAGATATAATTGTCAATTCAAATCCTATAGTAGTAAAGGTAATAAAATTATTAGAAGTAATCGGAGAAATTAGGGCTAGAAGATGTTATTCAAGAAGTACAATGAAATGGTTTCGATAAGAAGTTAGTAGGGACAAGTGAACCAAGTGTTTGTCATCAATGTTTATTCAACGCAGGCTAATAACAAACAGTTAAATGATAGAAGTAGAATTCAATTTTCAGTCATGTATTTAATTTATTTCTTCATTTACAGTTATGTAGATTTGTGTTTTTACACATTTGAAATCATCAATCAATGACTGTTAGACCACCATTAGAAATCTGGAAACACTGAACGGTCGTTTCATCCTAGTATACAACTCATCAACAGTACGCATCCACAACTTCTGCTACTTTACATGATTCGAACCCAGGACCTTTGGAGTTGCACGCGAACGCCTAACCTCTCGATCACTGAGCCGGCATCTAAAGGTGTTCATATCTAACTCTGACCAACCTGAGGATTTTGCGCAACCTCACCCATTTGTTTTCGGTTGTTACTGCCTACACCCGGATACGGTTGAACTACTCTGGTCACATCTTCTCACCAGAACTCCAAGAATTTCTTCACAAACTTAGTCACTAGTGAGCACACTGAGTTGTGAAGATCTATTCTGGTGATAAATTATGTTTATATATACATTCACTACTTCTGCGACTGCGGGATTCATCAGAATAATTTTATCCTCTTATCCTGATGCGGTTTCCCCGAGTCCTATGTTGCACGTGCCGCCATGAACATAATTATGAACTTGACTCTAAAAAGTATGAGAATCCAAAATCGGCCTGAAGTCCCTCTGAGGCTACTACCAGTCCCAAGTCCGGACAAAGAAGAAGGATTGGGCATTCCATAGTGTTAGTGGGACATAGATGGAATCAAAGCATTACTACGTTGCTGCGTGCTGATTGGCTAATATCCTATGCAATCAGCGCCCAATCGATTCTCGGAGAACAGGGTAGAAAATTCTCGTGTTGTTAGCTGCACGCTGATTAGCTAAATCTATTACAGTCGATCACGTGAGTTACAATCCAGAAGCTTCTCATGTAAATACTATAAAGAAACTATTTTGGCCTTCGCCTTCTTATTTCCATTTAACCTTGCTATTTGGAATATAATCTTTTCCTGTTCCACCGTGTTTTTGATTCTTTGGAACTTGTCCAGTGTATTGTGGTCAGACAATACTAAACAATAGGAATTAGCTGGGGATTATTCAAGTTAGCGTTACAACACATAGATTACTAAGTGTCTAAAGAAACACTAAATCAGAAAGCATAATTCAAAATCCACATAAAAAAATGAAAAATCATCATTATACTTCATAT